TTGGTGTGAGAGAGCAGCAGGAATGCATGGAGCTCTGCCTGGGGACTAACAGTGAGTTAGCTGCGAGCTGGTAGGCCAGGATCAGAGGGCAGAACAACATGGACAGCACTGTGGGAGGATGGGTGGATTTCTGCTCCAGACCTCTTGATCAGGTAGATGAGGCCTTCTTCAGACAACTGGAAGGAGCTTCATGCCTGCAGGCCCTGGATCTCATGGCAGACTGAAACTGTCCCAGCTGCCTCTGCTGAAGGGGTGCAAGCCACCCAGGAGGATTTTGGAGCTCACTGGTGACATCTTCCTGACAAGGGTGACTGAGGAGCCAGTGAGGTGAGGTGCCCTGCAGCAGGACTTGATACTTGCAAACAAGAAAGAGCTGCTCAGGGCTGTAACAATCAAGGGTGAGAAAGTAGAGTGTGGGATGCTGAGAGAAGGGAAGAAATCAAGGGACAGGACGTCAGGAGAGCAGGCTTTGACCTGCTGAAGGACCTGCTTGGAAGAATCCCATGGGATACAGCCCTGAAGAGTAAAGGGTGCAGAGAGCTGTTTGATGGTTAATGATCTCCTCTGCACTCCAGAACAGTCCACACAGACATGCTGGAAGTCAAGGAAAGGTGGCAGGAGGATGGCATGGATGAAAAAGGAGCTCCTGACAGAAGCCAAGCGTGAAGGGGAAGGACAGAGGAGGTGGAAGCTGACTGCTTTCCAGGCTCAGCGGTTCTGTGATGTTGTGCTGGAGAGAGACATTAGTGTGTGCGTGTGCTTGTCTGTGCATGGAGGAACTGGGGGGATGAGGGAATCCTGGATCCAGGTCCCAGACAGCTGGAGGACCTAAAACCAGCTTCTGGAGAGATCCTTATTGTTTCAGTCTCTATACAACTGCAACTCCTCAGGGTGTTATTAGGTGTGAGACACCACCACCATCAAGGTGAGCTATCTGCACAGAGGCACTAACAGCTGACCAAATGGAGCTTCAGCCCAGGGAAACCTGAGAAACTCTGGGATTCTGGCCAACAGAAACCTCTTGAAGTTTACAAGGAGAAGTGGCCAGTCCTGCATTAGGAGGAAGAATAATCTCCTCATTTCTCAGGGCAGGCATGGACCTGAGTAGCTGAGCAGGGACCCTGAGGAGAAGGGCTTGGGCACTACGAGGACACCATACAAGACAGCGGTACATGCTGGCCACAAACAAGGCCACCTGCATACAGGTCTGCACTAGGATGAGCATGGCCACCCAGACTATCCTGACATGCGTTGAAGTGTGATTTCAGAGATGGTTGGAGATTTTTCTCACGGTGAAGTGAGAGCAAGTCTGGTAAGCATGGTGGATGTCCAGAGCCTTCAAGAAAACAAGTGCAGGCGTAGGCCACCATAGGAGAGCCTGTGGTGGACATGGCCAAGGGAGCTGACAAGGTTGAAAGCCCCTGGCAGAGCTGAGCTCTTTCTCCTGTTGGCTCTGGCTGTTGGCTGTGTCACCAAGGCCTACCAGGAGACACCTAATCCTTACAGCACTGGGGCCTCATGGCCCCCTTGTCTCCACCCAAGAGCCTGGTAGGTGTCGAACCATAATCCTGCCCTTGGCATTGCACATCCCCACAAAACTCTGCCCTGAGAAGAGCTCTGAGCCTTCAATCACTTCCTCAACACAGGTAAAGGAGATCCCTCCCTGTCACTGTCTGGAAGCCCTGCCTGTTACTAAGACAAGAAAAGATGGTTTTTATACTTAAGTCTTTTCCTGATAAAAGAAATGACACCACTGAAAATAAGTTTCTCTCCCCACCTAAGGGCAACATCAGTGATTACTTCAGTCTGCTTCAATGTAGGTTCCCCCAGAGCTCCAGGGACACCCGGGGGGAGCTCAGAGGGGACAGAGTAAGTGCTGCTTTGGGCTGGTCCCCTGATGCTGAGCTGGGCTGGGCTCCTGAGCTGGAGGGAGCTCCTGGCCACTGAGCAGTGCTTGTGAGAGACAGCTCTGCCCAGGAGCAGCTCCTCTGCAAAGCGCAGCAGGGCTGGGGGCACTGCCTGCAGGCACCCAGGGCAGAGCAGCGAGGCAGGGAGAGGTACCAGGCAGCGTGGAGCGGGAGAGTGCTGAGAGCTATGATTATGAGTCTTCTTCCAAAGTTGTTCTCAAGAACATGCCCAAGTAATAGACTCTAAAGAGGACTGTTTCTTTGCTCAGGTGCTACCTGTTGGTGGACAGCACCCACACAGATGATGAACAATCTCCAGTTAACTTGCCTGGGGCTTTACAGCATGTGATAGGGCTGATGGCAGATGAGGGTTTTTTTTCTGGAAGGAATCAGGAGCTGCCAGCAGAGTGCAGGGGACCTGCAGGATCAGCATGCGCCAGGAGGTCAGCAGTGACTGAGCATAAACGTGTTCAAGATGGGGGGTCCCAGGTCTAAAGTGCTAAATCTGGGTGTGAAGTGCTGAGTGAGGGCTCTGCACCCCCAAGGGACACAGCAGGCACAGGGAAAGGAGCCTGGTGAGTGATTTGTTCCACCATCAGTGGACTCTTGTAGCCTGGATCCAGTGCAGCACCCAAACACATCTTGTGGTGTTGGCAATAAGGCAGGATACCTCTGAGCACCCTCCATGGCCACATAAGAGCTTCTGTGGAAGGCAGTCGGTGGCAGTGATGTCCCTGATCTTGGTATGCCTCCCAGCCTGACCAACACAGCACTGTAAAATCATCCTGTGACCCCAGGCAAGCCTACTTGTTCCTCAGATCAGCACCAGCAGCTCAGGGGCTGTGGAGAGCATGGAAAGCGGGTGCAGAACTGGCTGTCCAGGCCAGCACAGATGTGCCCACCTTGAGGAAAGGTCCTGTGGAGAGGTGGGATGTCCTGGGAGAAGAGCAGGACACCATGTGCATGGAGGGCAGACGTGGAAAGAGAAATTCTTTGCTGTGGGTGCCAGCTGAGGGCAGGGTGCCCTGTGGCTGGGGCAGCGGAAGCTGCCTGAGGAGTCCCAGGGCCAGGACTCTGTGCTGTCCTGGGGAGCGGGGCTGGCCCGGGGGGCTGCAGCCTCCTGGGAGGAGATCTCCAGGCTATGACAGCAGGAGAGACACTGACAGTGACCTCCATTTCCTCCTTTCTGCGGGGCCAGACCAGACCGGGCTGCTCTGTTCATCTGGGGAGAAGGCTGGGGAGTGGGGAGAGCTGGAAAGGCTGGGATGTCTGGGCTTGGAAGTGCTGGGCAAAGCAAAACACTGTGTACCCCTAACGTGTGTGAGAGTGAAATGTCAGAGCACACAGCTATGTCCTCGCACAGCCAGGCCTCTCCTGGGAGAGACATGAGGGACCATCAGAGCAAGACCTGTTCTCTGCCCGTGTGTGCTGGACACCCCAGGAAAGCTGCCCCAGGGCAATTGTCACATACCAGCCAGTAACAACCACCATTTCCAGCACGGGCCTCTCACCCCAGCTCAGAGAGGTTGTTTATCCCTCCATGGAGGGACACTGAGTGACCAGGTCAGCAGCCCATGTTTGCATTTTACAGATGAGTCGTGAGTATGCAAATTGTGTGCACGTGGGGAGATGAACCTGAATGAGCACAGATGCCCTCAGCTATTCCTGGGTATCCCATGAACATCTGTGGGACAGACAGTGTCTCACAGTCACTTCACCTTGAGCGTATTGTCCCCTGGGAACCCACCAGAATGCAGCACTGGGATGTGCTTCCTTGAGCTGAGGTCCCCGTGTCCATTCCTCATGCCTCGGGGCACCTCAGAGGAGTGCAGAGCAGGGTAGTACACTGCGAGGCTGAGATGCCCTCCAGCCTCTGGGAGCGGCAACTGGAGGCCAGAGAGACACTACAGTTGTGACAGTGCACTGCCTCTGCGTGTGCAAGGGAAGGACTCGTGCCTCTGAACACCCCTGTGGGCATGAAGAGCACACGAGGCCAGCTCAGATGTGGACATCATCTCCTCAGATGTGGTCCAGGGGGTCCCTGTTATGGTGACAGCAATCTTGCCTGAGCCCACCATCCCCCCAACCCCCATCACCATTCCTCCCGGTCCCTGTGGCCCTGTGCCCCACACTGTCCCCATGTCCCCCCAAATTCACCAATTCCCACAGGTGATCACCTCCAGCACCAGCCTAGCACCCACTGCCACCTCCCCTGTCACCACCACTCTCCCCAGTGTCCAGCCCATGGTCAAACCGGTGGCAGTGTAGCCCATGGTCCCCAGTACCACAGGCAGCGTCCAAAAGTACATCATGGTTTCCACACCCCCCACCAGTGACACCAATGTTTGCACCAGGACCCCTAAAGGTACCACGGTTCCGGGACCCCAACTGTGCCCCTCCGCCACTGTCTCTCCTGCTGTCCTCTCCACTGTCCCCCCCAAATCAGAGGCCTGAGAGGACTGTCCCAACCCCCCCCCCACACACACACACTCAGGAAAGCTAACGAGACCGCTTGATGGTGGCAGACTCCCCCCAGTGACCCCACTGGGACCCCACTGCTCTGGAGATGGGTGGTGGCCTGGGTATCTCCTCACTGTTCCCATGTCCCCCACACAGTGTCCCCCACACAGTGTCCCCCAGTGTCCTGGAACCACTCTATGGGGACGAGGGGTGGCCTGGGGATCACCCAGTGTTACCCTGTATTGTTGTCCTGGGTTTCAGTGAGTGGTGGGGTTGTTTTTCGTAGCAAAGGAGGGGGCGACAGGGATGGCCCCTGGGAGAAGTTTGTTGAAGCTTCCCCGGCTCCAAGTCTGCCCCACCTCCACACCAAGGCCAAGGCAGTCAACTGCGCCTCTGTGCTAATATGTTTAAGAAGGGACGTGGTGAGAAGGAGTGGGACTTGTAAGGAGGAATTGCGGCAGCTGCGTAAACAAAAAGGTCAATGGAGGAACGGAGGAAGAAAGGAGGGGGGAGGTGTGCTGGAGCAGAGACCCCCCTGTATCCTCTGGTGAGATAACAGGGTGTCCCTCCCCCTGCCACCCATGAAGATCTACGGTGGAGCAGACACTGATTTAAGGTCTAAGTTTTACATAGATGACCAAGGTGACAGTGCCCGAAAAAAGCTGGGATCATGTGGAAAAGGTAGACCTTGCTGTTGTAGTTCAGCGCTGGGAGTATTCCAGCACGTGGGGCTGTCCCAAGCCAGAGCAGCTCGGGAAGGGCTGCAGCCCATGGGTGGAACTCCAGTTGGAGAAAGTTGGTGCCCCACACTGGAGAAGCGTAGGGAAACGCTGTGGCCCATGGGAGGGAGTCACATCGGAAAAAGTTTGTGGAGGACTGTCTGGTGTGAGAGGGGGACCACGCTGGAGCAGGGGAACAAGTTCCAGCAGCTCCCCCCACCGAAGACGGAAGAAGTGGCAGCACTGACTGCACCCCCCCATTCCCTGCCCCTGCGCCACTGGGGGAGGAGGTAGAGATATCAGGAGCAGAGCTGAGCCCGGGAAGAGGGGAGGGGTGGGGGGAAGGTGTTCTCAAGATGGGGAAATGCTTCTCACTGTCTTATTCTGCTAAGTGTTGTTGTTAGTGTCTGTAATAAATGTATGTTCTCTTTTTCTTCCCCTAACGAGTTTGCCTTTTGCCCATGATCATTATGGGTGATTTGCCCATCCTGGTCCTATCTCGAAGCCCAAGCCTGGCTTATTTGTCCCTTCTCATTGATGGGAAGGAAGGGAGGAGTGAGCGGCTGTGTGGTGCTCAGATACCCTCTGAGCTCAAACCACAACAGTTGAGCAACCGGCTCTGACCTCAGAGCTGGCCCTACCTGGAACCAAAGGCAGGAGGAGAGACTTCCTGAGCACAGGGCAGTCGCACCCTGAATTGTCCCAAGAGCTTATGCTATAGAGACCCTCAACTCCTGGTGGAGCTGAACCCTGAAAACCTCCAGAGATGGAGATCACAGAGAGTCTCTGGGTGTCCTGCTGCACTGCAGCACCAGCCTGCTAGTCAGATTTTCCTGTTGCCCAGGGTGAAGCTCTCAAGAGGCACTTTGTGGCAGTTGCCTCTGCCATACCATCTGCCGCCAGAGAAGAGTTTGGCTCCACCATGATCTATTCAGGTAGGCGTCACCTGCCTTTAGAGTGCCCTGTGCCTCTCCTTCAGCAGGCTGAAGAGGCCCCGTTCCCTCAGCCTTTCCATATATCTCATGTGCTTCAGAGCCAAAACCTCATCATGACAGACTTCCTCTGGACCTTCTCCAGTTTCTCCATCCACCCACTGAAAGGGGAAACCCACTGGTGCATATAGCATCCATCATAACTCCCATGCCCAACTCTTCAAGGCCGCTCCTCAGCCAGTCCTGTTAAAGCCTGTCCTGGAGCAAGGGGTTATTCTGCTCCTGGTGTGGACCTTGCCCCCTTCTCCTTGCAAAACCCTCCTCCTTGTAAATCTTCAGGAGATTTCTGTTGGCCAAATAGGAAACTGCCAAGGTACCTAAGGACTGAAACTTCAACATTTCAGCATTTCAGGCTCATGGGCCAATCCTCAAACAAGATAACAATATGAGGAGTTGAAAGACATTACAGGTAATGAAAGAGAATTTTGTGTTTAATGGGGTTGCCGCCCAAGGAGCAAAATGCTACAGCAGCCATGTCAGCAATACTAAAAGAGGGTACAAAAAAAGAAATGCATGGCCAATGGGGAAAGCATTAACAGGCTAGGCTATTCTTTTTGGAGGGTATTAGGATAGTGAAAGAGAAATTAAGGAGGAGGAGGAGGAAAGAGGGAATGGTAACATTTAGGGGGTGGTTAATGATGGGGGAGAGCAGAATCGTCAGAGTTTGAAAGTGAAGGCACACGAGTGAGACCCCGGTGTGATGTGCTCTGTATTCACGCCCTGCCCTGCACCTGCGTGACAGGGAACGGCCAGCCCTTGCCTCACTGCAGTGGGATGCGGGGGCTGGCCCAGGGGCACTGAATCTGTCCACGGTGCCCAGCACGGTGCCTGTAGCACGACCAGGCTGAATAGGGGGAGGTCCCTGCAGAGGGCCTGTGGTGTCCATGTCAGCGACACGTAGTTGTGCTGGAAAGCACTACTGGCCCGTATTTGCATATCCTGTATTTGGATATTAAACTGAGATTCATCTGCTTTAAATTAGGTTAAGCACTGAAGGGATGTACATGAGAAAACTGCCATTATATTCAAAGGACAGGTGGGAAACTCATCTAATGACAAAAGGAAAGAAAGGCTTAGATCTTCCTAGGGTACATGATTCCATTTGGTCAGATAAATATCTCTGTAGGCTGCCATGCACATACGGAGTAGGGAAACGTTCAGTCATCCTAAATGTGGGCATCTGCTGTTGGGCAAAGGAACTCACAACCAGGCTCCAGGATGCTGCCCTCAGATGCTGCCCCGTCTCTCAGAGCTGCTCCACCAGAGATTGAAGCTACTTGTACTTATCTGGAACCACCTCTGGCACCCCAAATGTCACCAGGTATTTGTCTAAGGAGCTCACTGCTGGCCTCCATCTCCATTAATTAGCAGGGCAGATGAGACAAGCTTCTCACATGCAGGTGCCTATTTTGTGCACACCTGAACTGAGGAGAGAGGAACCCCAGGTCTGTGGGTTTGTGACAGTCACAAGAGGGAGCTGAATCCCCTTCTAGGCCCAGGACCACAAGTCTAGAGTGAGATGCCTCAACAGACTCAGCTGAATCAGTTTCTCTTCAGGGGTAAAGAAATCCCTCCTTGGCACTGTCTGCAATTCTTGTCTGATATTAAGTCAAGAAAGGATGAGTCTTATACCGAAGTCTTTTCCTGATAATAGAAATGACACTGCTGAAAATAAGCGTTTGTCCCCAGCTGAGGGAGGGAACATCAGCGATTCCTTCAGCCTGGTTCACAGCAGTTCCCCTGGAGCCTCAGGGACACCCGGAGGGAGCCCAGAGGGGACAGAGAAAGTGCCACCTTGGGCTGGTCCCCTGCTGCTGAGCTGGGCTGGGCTCCTGGGCTGGAGGGAGCTCCTGGCAAGTGGGCAGCGCTGCAGAGAGACAGCTCTGCCCAGGAGCAGCTCCTCTGCAAAGCGCAGCAGGGCTGGGGGCACTGCCTGCAGGCACCCAGGGCAGAGCAGCGAGGCAGGGAGAGGTTCCAGGCAGCGTGGAGTGGGAGGATGCTGAGAGCTCACTGCAGGAGAAATCTTCACAGCCCTTGACTCAGTAAGTCTGTGGGTGCAGGGCAATGTACCTGAGAGTCCTGGAGGGTCTCTTAGAGCTGGCCCATCCCAGAGCAGATAGGATCTGGCAGGATGGCTCTCAGGGTTTCTTTTGTGTGGAGAAGGACATGGTACAGAGCAGGGCTTCCCTGATGCACCCTCAGAGGGACAGGGCATCCCATCTCCCTTTTCCTGGGGCCGGCTGCAGGGGTGTGCAGCCGGGTGTGCAGGCAGGGGTGCCCAGGGCTGTCCTTCCCAGCAGGGTCCCTGCACCCCAGGGGCTGTGTGCTGGGGCAGGGACTCTCCCGCCTGCCAGGGTCAGCACTCAGCCTGCCCGGGGAGCTCCCCACGGCGCTGTGGGGAGAAGCTGTGGGGGGAAGGAAAGACCCCTGCCAGGGCAGGCTCCTTCTGCTGTTGAGAGAGATTGCTGTGTGGATCAGGGCTGCTCACAACTCCAGATCACCTTCAGGATATTACCTGGGGGATGTTTCAATGGGAAGGACAAGGGAGGGGCTACCTGAAGCAAAGTCACTTTCTAGAGTCTGTGCTTTTGGTTTCCTGCTGTGATGGGGAGGCACAGAGATGTTAATGGAGATGTCATGTTTGTACAAGACACCGAGACTCCTTGAGCATTTCAGTGACAGGTTAATAGGTCAGCAAGGAATTCATAAAGCCCTTCCCCACCTTCAGCCCAATGATCAGCATCAACATCATCCTCAGGGTTGATCTCAGCTGTTCTTTAGGGCCTCCAAACACCGAGCTATCCTTAGACTATGCATGCTGTCAGGAGGTGTCTGCAGGGCAGAGCTGAGCATGCAGTGGGTCGGATGGGGGCTGTGGGCACTGACAGGGAGGAGACATGGGGACAGAGAAAGAGCCCCTGGCAGGGACATCTCCAGGCAACAGAGAGGGCAGGGAGAGAGAGGGAGAGGGAGCTGCTCCCAGAGACACCGAGGGAGGGGGGATTCAGGCAAGTCCCTGCCATCCCCTGCAGTGCATACTCCTCCCCTGGTCTCTACTCTCACTCAGCAGAGCTTCTGCCCCAAGGCCATGTGTTCCCAGGCTTCATCACCCAGATGGCATCCTGACCCTTTACGACTTTGAACATCCCAGTACCTGTCTCTCTCCCCCTGTTCTTCGTCCCTCAGCAGGAGCACTGGGACATGTCTCTGCATTTCCCCTCCTGTCTGTGCTGCCCTTGTTCTTGCCCTCAGTCCCTCTGGGGAGGAGGGTTTCAGCTGCAGATCAGACAATGAAACATTGGGTAAGGCCCTGTAGATGTGTCCAGGGGAGCAAAGTGCCCTGGCCCATCCTAACCCGGAGGGCTCAGGGCAACACAGTGCTTGGGGCTGGGGAATGAGCTGGCTCTGTCTGCTCACTGCAGCTGTGGCACAGCCAACAGTCTCTCTGGGGTTGTCCTCCTGGAAGATGCTGAAGAGCACTTCTGCATTACTAGTGAATTATAGCTGACATGAACTGTTGATTTCATACCCTTTCTGTCATACCCTCTGCTGTAGAGAAGGGCTGACTCCTCCAGAGCCAATGGGCCAAGGCCACTGCTGCTGGAAAGTCACTCTGCCTGCACAACCCAGAGGCCCAGCCTGAGAGACGAGCAAGGAGGGAGGTAATGTGTGTTTGGGTGGGGACAGGGGACAGAGAAGGGGAGCATTGAGTAATGCATAAAAATTTACTCACAGAACTCTGCCCCAAATTGTAACTGCCTTTTTCCCCCTGGACAGGACTCCATGCTCAGAGGCAGCAGATATCTAACAGCAGCTCCATCACCCAGTTCCTCCTCCTGGCGTTCACAGACACTCGGGAGCTGCAGCTCCTGCACTTCTGGCTCTTCCTGGGCATCTACCTGGCTGCCCTCCTGGGCAACGGCCTCATCATCACCGCCATCGCCTGCGACCACCACCTCCACACCCCCATGTACTTCTTCCTCCTCAACCTCTCCCTCCTCGATCTGGGATCCATCTCCACCACTGTACCTAAAGCCATGGCTAACTTGATCTGGGACACCAAGGCCATTTCATATGCAGGATGTACTGCCCAAGAGTTTCTGTTTGCCTTCTTGATGTCAGCAGACTTTTCTCTTCTCACCATCATGGCCTACGACCGCTACGTTGCCATCTGCCAACCCCTGCACTACGGGACCCTCCTGGGCAGCAGAGCTTGTGTCCACATGGCAGCAGCTGCCTGGCGCAGTGGGTTTCTCAATGCCGTGCTACACACAGCCAATACATTCTCACTACCACTGTGCCAAGGCAATACCATTAACCAGTTCTTCTGTGAAGTTCCCCAGATCCTCAAGCTCTCCTGCGCAAACTCCTTCCTCAGGGAAATTTGGGTTCTTTTGGTTGGTGCCTGTTTAACATCCGGGTGCTTTATTTTCATTGCGGTGTCCTATGTGCAGATCTTCAGGGCCGTGCTGAGGATCCCCTCTGAGGAATGGCACAAAGCCTTCTCCACGTGCCTTCCACACCTGGCTGTGGTCTCCCTGTTTGTCATCACTGCCATGTTTGCCTACCTGAAGCCCCCCTCCATCTCTTCCCCTTCCCAAGATCTGCAGGTGGCTGTTCTGTACTCAGTGGTGCCTCCAGCAGTGAACCCCCTCATCTACAGCATGAGGAACAAGGAGATCAAGGATGCCATTAGGAAAGTGATTTCATGGCTATTTATCAATACTGTTAAGTTTCCCTCCTCTCTGCAAAAGTGACTCATAGGGTATCCCATGCTAGGCCTGTGCTTTTTTATTATTATCATTAACATAATTTGAATTATCATCACAATTTTTGTTATCATTCTCATTTTTATAGTTATCATTATTGGTTTTGGTAATCTGTGGTTGTTTTTTTCCTACACAAATGTTTAGATTCAACTCGCTTGTACTGAGATATGACTCTGCTCTGTCTCCTGGAGCCTGTATAAACTATGTCTAACACTGGGTCAGAGCTGACTCTCTCATAGGATATCTACAATAAAATGGGATCTTCCCGGTGCACTGCTGAAAGGTTAGGCTCTTCTACCAAAGCTGGTGCCAGGAATAGGCACGAGAAACTGCTCCCTGAGTGTCAGTTACTCCATGTAGTCAGGGGCCAAGAGCTCGATGTCATGGCATCCATGTTTAGTGACAGTGGAGATGGTGAATGGTCTCTGAATTCCATTCCCATGGTTGTCCCACAAGTGACATGCAGATGAAGTCCTTAAGGAGGGGAGCCAGGAGCTGGCTGAAGAGCACGGGGTATCTCCATGGACAGCAGGTGCCTGGGGCCAGCAGGGACTGGAGCCCCATAAATTGAGAGATCACCCAAGGTGGGGAGTCACTCAAAGGGAAAGTGCTAAATCCAGGTATCTTCAGGAAAACAAGGACTCTGAAATCCCAGAGGGGCCATGGGGACGCAGCAGGCACAATGAAAGGAGGCTGCAGAGCGATTCATCTCACCCTCAGGCACAGATAAACACCTCTGCTCCCCTTGGAAATGCACCATAGTCCCTCCCTTCAAGCACTGCCAGCTCCACAGACCCTTTTGGAGGGGGTTTGCAGCAGTGATCCCTACAGATCCTGGGGCCATATGGAGAGCACAAGGAGGGGGCCAGGAGAGGCTGCCCAGAGCAGAGTAAGGATGGGGGGAGATCAGAAGGGAGGTGACCTGGGCTGGGCAACGGCCTCCAATGGAAAAATGATGATGTTCAGCTAATCCAAGGCAATGTCCAGACTCTGGGTCTGTTGGTTGTCCTTGCTGTCCTGGTGCTCCAGCAGGCCAGGGAAGTGGCTGAGGAAGGAGTGGTGCCCCCAGGCTCTTGGTGCTGTCGTCCTCCAGTGTGGAGCTGGCCACATCAGCCTGCCTGCATGGCCCTAGGGGGTCCCAGTGAGGTCATGCTTGGAGAGTAGGTTGTGATTAGCATTGCTCTGAGTCGGTGTGATGGATGATCTGGGTGGGCATCACAGAAGGCAAGGACAAGAAGCAGGAGGTGAAATTTCAAATGAGGTTTTGAGGAAAGAAAAGAACCCCAAACCCACAATGACAGTGGGCCAGGGGCCTGTGAGTTTCAAAACTCTAATTTCTAAAGAGTTTAACAGGGAAAAAAATCATCATGATTAGAGCTAGCTCAGGAGAAAGCACTGACCAATCTGATCTAACTGTAAAGTTATCCCTCATCAGAGCAGACCACACTGCTAGAGACATCCAGAGGTCCCTTCTGACCAAAACCACTGTAGAGGGATGGGCTGGGCAGCGTAGGGGAGGAGAGTGGACACTGCTCTGTGCTGAGGTGTAGGAGGGACCTTGTACGGAGTGCGAGACCGGAGTTAGACCTCACACCAATGCGATGAAAGTCGTACTCTCTTTATTAGTCCAGGGTACATATATTTATACAGACAACGCTAATTATTATGCCTACTAGTCACTAGCTGATTGGCTTAAGCTCTAAAGGTCGTATTCACACGGTCCACGTACTTGCAGTCAGCTAACAGCACAAGCTGCTCATAACACTAAGTTTCTCATGCCACTATTTCTAATTCCTCTCAACCTGTTTTCGACACACCACGGTACACAGGGCTGAAGCGTCCTTGACATTCTTCATGTATCAGCAGCCGTGAGCAGCGGCAGGCAAACCCTAGTGAGGCCCAGCATCAGCGAGGCAGCATCAGCCCCTAGAACAGGCTCTGATCGTACAACTGCTCGGGGGGCTCAGGACCCTTGTCTCTCAGCCATTCTCCAACAATTCCCCCTTTTTCTTTTTGTACGAGCAGAGCCTGCCCTAATGTTCATTCAAAGACTTTCTTAATACCTGATAAAGCACAGCTTAAGCATGCAAGCTTACAATCTATCGGCTAAAGGCAGTTATCACATCCCCCACCCCCACCCGGAAGTGCTGTGATAGGTCTGCATCATTAGTCGATGTGTATAAACTAAATCTACTTTGTGGTTAGTGCATCCAGGCATTCAAACAGGAAGGAAGCACTCGCTTGGCTTCCTCCTTCTTGCCCTTCCAGGTGACCTCAAGGGCAGGATTACCACGGGGCAGTTTTCTGCTCAGAGACCCAGCCTGGATTGTCCAAACCCTGTAGGATCATTGCATTACCCTGATCCCTAAAAAATCCTCCCACATTTCCCCCTTTTTCTTTTTAGACAATCCAGACTCCTTTTAATGCTCAATTCATAGCATTCATAAAGCATTTCCACACAGACCCCAATACCATCATGACAGTCATAATGACAATCAGTATTGACAGTCCATGCCTCAACAAACCTTTCAGCCACCCACTAATTCCCAAGTTTTGTAGATTTGTAACCATTCTGTCAGTCCATTTTCCAGTCTTATGTCTTGTACCTTTTTTTTTTTTTTGAACAATAATCAACAATTTATTAACAAACAAGAACCTGAAATAATTAACTGTATAACAATCCAGCGAAGTCCCACGCGACACAATCAGAAAGAGAAAAAGTAAGAAACAAAGATATCAGCACTGTCCTTTGGATGTTGTCCTTCGAGCTCTTGTTACCCCTGCTCACGGGGGCGATAGCGATAGAAAGATAGAAAGAGTCCAAGAACATCAGTCACACGCCGCGCGGTAACTCCTCTGATCAACAACATTTCCTTCTTTGAACTATAAGTCTGTTTCCATCACCTCATCAAGGTTTCAAGGGCGTCTTAGTTGTCTTCGTGATCTTGGAGGATTGGGGGGAGGAGGTGATCTTCTCCGACACCAGCCACGAGACATTCCCTCGCATACCGCGATGGCAACGACGGTCACCACCAATATAACGAAAAATCCCAACAGCAGGGCGGCGCACACAGGATCGTCCCCTACTCCCATCTTCCCAAGCTTGCAATCCAGTGGGATCAGTAAGATTAGTGGGATAGTCCAGCCCCAGGCTAGCGGCTTGACCGAGGAAGGTCCAAGTGCACAATGAGCGGAAGTTTCTCTTCCACCCAGAATGCCCGTGTTGCCTAGATCTGGGCGGGCCTGGCAGTTGTTTTTTTCCATCCGGGTATAGCCGAACTTTCGAGACCCTCCAACAACACATGCGCTTTGGACTGGGGGCATGGAAATCCATTTTCCTGCTGCATATGTGGACCCTGACTCCCGATCCCTACGGACCAAGCGGGTTGACGACTTGCGCTCTCACTTTTGTGCCTCCGAAACTGCGAAAACAATGGAGCATGCTTATGTATGGGTAGCAATTTATTATGCAGCCTTGATGTTGGTAGCCCTCGCTTTGTTTGCCTTTTTACTACATATCTTTTGCCCTTGTAAATGTTCCTCTTTCAAGTGCCCATGTAGTTGTATCTGCTTACGTAAACCACCATCTCCTAACCCTCCCCGTCCCCAAAGTCCGGGAGCACATCCCTCAGCCCAGCCTGAGACACATGCTGTTTAAGTAGGTTTGGGTAGAAAACTGTTGATTGGTAGTGTTACTGTTATTGTTACCTTGTCTATGTTTGGTTAACCATGTCGAAAATTCTGTTATAGGTCTTTTCGGCGGTTTTGGTACTGGCTGTTTTACTTCTGTCACATCTTTTACTTGGATTTTCTTCTTCCCACTAAAAATATCTCCATCCACCCTTCTGTCTTTGGGAAAGCAAAGCCACTCTGATGTTGGACATAACAGTAAAGCACTTGCTGCACAAATTTGCCACTATTAAAGCAAACCATATCAGGATAATTAGCAGAGGTCCGGTATAACATATACTCCCACCTCTCATGCCTATGGGGTTGCAACCCACAGCTGAGATAAAAGTCTTCCTGGTGGTGAGCACAGAGGTTAACCCGGTCTCGCTGTCTACTTTTAACGAAACCGTGTGTTAAGAGTTAGTCAATTCAAGTGCAGCTCCTTCGTAGCCACTTCCTTTGTTTCTAAGCAAAGCAAATTTTCTTTTTCTTTGGCACTTTCTGATAGTGTCCTTCCATCAACTTTCAGGGACATCCCAAATTCTGGGGACTAACCTCTTTTTCCCGTAAATCAAGGTTACAGTTCATGCCCCTTCCCTATACAGTTATAAGACAATTTTCTCCATCTGCAAGAAATACCACCTCCGGTGACACATTTCACACTCACACAAAACCCACGCTTCATGACATCCATACATACACTCGAGACAAGGTATTACCCTATTATGTTGATTTTCTAGCAATGCCTGATTGAATCCAAAATGCTCATAATCTATTACCAAAAGCCACTCTGTCACATGTCTGCCAGTTAATGCTCAGTAAGCGCCAGCTTTTCCCCGACATTTTTTTTTTTTTTTTGGTTCCTTATAAAGCCAGTAAGTAAATGAATAAGTAAATTTTCACAATGTTACCTCTGAACCCAGTCAAAAACCCAGTCAAACCACTGGTTAAGAGTCATTCAATCCCCTCCTGATGAATTTACTTAGTCCTTTGAGGGTGACTTGTAGTTGGTCAGTTGATGGTACCACAGTCCACTCCTGAGGCTTTTCCACCGGTCCTTTTCCTCAGGAGGCAAGAGTCCACCCCTTTTCTTTTGTTCGGATCTCTGTCTCGGTGGTCAGCAGCACCTGAAATGGACCTTTCCACTCGGGAGTTAATGATTAACCTTTCCACACTTTTATCAATACCCAATCACCTGGTTTTACATTGTGGATATTAAAATCCAATGGTGGTATTCAAGGCAGAAGCCCTTTCTTTCTTACTTTCATTAAAGTGTTAGCTATTCTTATTACATACTTTCTTACATACTGATCTCCTTC